AGAAAGAATTTGGAAAAGAGGAAGCACAAAAGCAGAAAATATCGTATGCGAAAATCATTTATAAGGCACGGCGATTCGTCTAGCGGTGGCCGACCACCGACTAACGCTCATTAAATGCCTCGATAAAACAAAATTGATGGGACAGCTGTCACGCACGTCATAGTCAAAGTCGATAGAAATGTCAATGTCGATTCGGTCGAACCTTAAGGAAATTACATCGTTCCTCGTCATCTCCTTTCCGAGAAATGAGGGGGCTATCTGTATACGGTTAAAACCGATCCTCGGTCGTGAAGATCGATCGAGGATGGCATTTCAATCGAGGGGTGCCTTCATGAAAACCCTGAGCGTATTCCGAGATTGGGGCGTCGAGCCCGGGCGCTCGATTCGAACGAGGTAACATCGGTCGATACAGGTCCCGAGCATCGATGCCCGAAAGTGACCACCTAGCTCGAAATCAAGACCGAGGTTCCGATTCGGTATCGAGCTTGAAGCGGTATCGAGCTCACAGACAAAAGCTGTTACAACCGCACCAAAGGAGGGAATCTCTGCGGGAATTAAGGAGGAGACATACCATCATGGGTCCTCCACTAGTAATATTTATTCCATTATGTTGCTATAGATAAAGTAGCAATCCTTGGCTATAAAGNTCTGCGGGAATTAAGGAGGAGACATACCATCATGGGTCCTCCACTAGTAATATTTATTCCATTATGTTGCTATAGATAAAGTAACAATCCTTGGCTATAAAGCAGAGGAAGAGTTTGTAATAGAACACACTTTTGAGAGGAGATTAAGAATTCTTTGTGTTTATCTTTCTAAGTTCACCTAATATCTTTGTTCATCATCTCCTATTTTCGCAACATAAATACGTGCATTGTTATTCTTATATCAGAAGAATCTACTTGCCCTTAGAACCATATATAAATTCTACTTTATCCGATTTTTCGGGTAAACATCTAGCAGGGAGTGAATTTTACAGTTTCACTATGAATATGTTCCACAAGAAAAATAACCGACAGATATTTTTGGAGATGCCTATTGATGAAACTCGCAAGTTTTGGTTGGAGTTTAACTATCAATTATACCTCAAGAAAAATGAATAATATATTGTTGTGGTTGAATATTTCTATTGTTCTGTGTTCGAATATTGTGGTTGTATGTGTAAACTTTATTACGGTTTTATGTGTAAACTTTATTTATTGCTTCTTGTTTAGACGTTATGGTTATATCGCTTAAATTAAAGCTTTTGTTTGTTGAGATTTTATTGTTAAGTTCCGGTTAAGCTTACTATTGTTAAGCCTATTTAAATGCTTCAGTAACTTTATATTGGATGCTTCAGTTAACATCATTGCTGTCTTATTTAAACACTTCAAAGAAGATATATCTTTCTCTTCTCTTATTATGATGCATATAGCCACAGAAAATGTGCCAGTTAACTTCAATTAGCTTTTAGTTAGCTTCACTTTATTTTATGTTTGTAAAGCTTCAGTTAATGTTATGTTTAGAAAGCTTTAATTAATTTTATGTTTTCATTTTCAGCTAAATGGAGAGTTAGAACTTTAGCGACTTGGTAGATCCTTATCCAAGTTATTTGTCAGACGATGAAGATGAAGAAGAACTGGAGGAAATACGGAGGGAGAAAGATGAGAAGGAATGGACGACTTTATGTCAAATAGCAGGTAAATTGATTTTGATGTATTACAAAAAATACATGTGCAAGGAACTTTGTCGCACATCTAGTCGCTCTGGAAATGTATTTATTAAAGAGATATTCAGAGCAAACGAAACTCGTTGTTATGAAAATTTTCGATTGTGGAAGTCAGTGTTTGTTAGGGCTGTTCAAAACCAACCCGAAACCGTTAACCGAACCGAACCGATAGTTTATTGGCTTATTGGTATCAGATTATCGGGGTAATTGATGGTGAACGGATTGAGATTCTATAATTAACGGCTTAACGGTTTGGGGGCGGATTACTCAATTTTCTTATCGGGTAAACTGTTAACCCGTTAAGAATTTTTATATTCATACTTTTATCCCTATGTATATAAAACACTACTGAGAAGTCGCCAGTCACCAGAGCTTAGAAAATCTTTCAGCAGTTCTGCAACGTAACTTAGATGCCTTCTGTAACGAAAATGTCATCTAAGTTACTTAGTTTCCACTTAGATACCTTAGAAGTTATGTTCCAACAGATTCAGACTATGTACTTGCAGCATATTCAGACTATGTTGCCTTAGATGACATTTGGACTAAGTAACTTAGATGCCTTTGTAATAACCAAATAAAAAATAAGTGGAAACTAATAAGAAGTTAGAAGTGCATCTGTATTCTGTGCAGTAGTGATAGAATTATTATTTTTCATAGCAGAATTTTACCAGCTATATAATACAATTGTTTAATCAATACTTTCCAGAAAATATGCATGAAAATTGAGACAGTGCAAACACAATTCCAAGATAGAATCAAAGAAGACATCAACACAACATCTCAAGATAGAACTAGAGAAAGAGATCTATGATAATGGCCAGAATTGGAAGTAATTTGTAGATCCTAGATGGAATTGATTTGAAACCGTTTGGTATTGATCGAATGATTGTTCAAAAAAATTCTATTTGACTTAGTCGATAAATCGCCCGATAATCGATAATCCGATACCAATCCGCCCGTTGTCTTATTGGATGGCTAGCGGATTATTACATTTATAATTCGATAACCGATAAGCCGATCGTTAAGCGTAATTATCCGTCCGATCCGCCCGATAAGCACCCCTAGTGTTTGTTGATCTATCGAATGACTTAATTGGAAAGCATGGGCTTAAGCCCACACGTGGAATGTATATACACGAGATGTTAGGCATGTTCTTGATGAATTGTGTACATGGAGCTGGAAATCGATTGATACAGAAAATCTTTCAACATTTATGAGAAATACTTCATAGACACTTTCATAGTATTTTAAAGGCCGTTTGTCAGCTTGCAAGATATATTATTAGACCACATACAAATTATAATGATGGTGCAGGAGCTCACAAGCCATGTAGCAGCCGATGTCTCCCTTTCTTTAGAGTAAGTAATAATTTTACATAATTATTTTTTATTAAACTTATAACTTAATTTTTATCACTCTTACTAACTTAAGTTAAATTTATACTTGTATATGTATATAGGATTGCACTGGAGCACTTGATGGCACACATGTTAAAGCAAGATTACCGCAAGATCAAGAGATATCATATATTGGACGTAAAGGTTATCCGACTCAAAATATTCTTGCTGTCGTACATTTTAATATGTGTTTTACATTTGTATGGGCTGGGTGTGAAGGAGCAACTCACAATAGTCGTATATTTGGTGAGGCTCTTCGTACACCATAACTCAACTTTCCACTTTCAATTGGAAATAAGTATTATCTAGTTGATGCAGGATATCCGCACATGAAGGGATATATGACTCCATACAAAAGAGATAATGTGAGATACCACCAAGCACAATTCCCCTGCGGTGCAACAAGACAATTGCGAGAACCAAGAGGACGAATTGAAAAATTTAACTATTTGCATTCTTCTTGTAGAAAAATTGTAGAGCGCACAATTGGGGTTTGGAAAGCAAGATGATCTATTTTGCGAGACATGCCTTTCTATCACATGGCCATTCACAACTATATTAGACAGAAATGCACTATGGATGATACATTCCAAGCAGCTGAATGAGAGATATGGTCCATCTGTTGATCCTGATGTTGGTACATCTTCGAGAGCTAATAACAATATAAATGCGAAAAATGTAGAAGAACAAGTGATCTCATTTGGATAGGTTTTCGTGATTTGATTGCTAATAAAATTTATGAAGTTTGATGCTTGTAATTGTATGAATATTATATTTGAATCAATTTAAAAATATATTTGAAGTGTCAGCCGTATGTTTTAGCTTTTAAATTATGAGATGCTTCGGAACAAGAAGTTAGAATGCATCATTTTTTGTTTCTTTTTCTTATTTATGGAGGACAATGGGCTCGTTTTATTTTTATGGAAGTTTACTTGATTGAGAGTGGTGAAAAATGAGCGTTCAAAAAATTATATTTATAAAAATTATCTTAAGTAATCAATTAAATTAAAATTAAATTAAAATATAAATTATTCTTTATTTGCATTAATTCAGAATTAAATATATTGTAGTAATCATCTCCTTTATGATGTTAACAATTTTAAGGATATTTATATCTTTTTAACAGAAAAAGTGCTTACCAACACTGTTTAACAAATACTTCAATAATATTTTTTAAGCTTCACCACTTTATCCAAACATATAACTATTTATTTATAAAACAAACTCCAGCACTTAAAAGCTGCTTCTAAACACTTGTGCTTTAAAGCTATTTTTTCCGGCTAATTCAAACAGGCTCAAAGTGTTATTTTTTTCGGACTACCAATTGAAACATTGAAAGTTTAGCTAACCGAGTATAACTTTTTTTTTTTAAAGAAAATAATTATTTGAGTGAAAGCCCTTTTTGATCTAGCTTTTTTCTTAGATCTTCTTGGTTAGGATGGATAACATCTTTTGCTCATACACCAAAGAATAATTTTTTCAGTGAAAAAGAGGAATAATTTTTTTTAATTAGTCTTATTTTTAGTAACATGTAGCAAAGGGTTTCAGTTTTGAAAACGAGAAACTATGAACTACTCCATCCGGTCCTAATATTAGTAATTTTGACAAACTCAATTGTCCCAAAATATTTGATAGTTTAAAAAAATATGAAATTATTTATTAGGTTAAATTTTTCAAATTTACACTTCTTGTTAATTAATAAAGTATCTTTTAAGTGATGAATTTTATAATAACAAATAATTTGGACTAACTATATTATAATTAAGACCATTAAATTTAAATATATTTTAAAGTGCGGAGAAACCATAAAAAATTAATATGGAGGAAATGGGTAGTACTAGTATTTTAGAGAAAATTAGTACATAAAAAAAATACAGTAAAATTCAAATTGGAAACCGAGAAGTTCCCCTTTGTAGTTAGCGAGTGACTGTTTCCTAAACTTTTTCCCACCATCGTTTCAGAGAACTCAAAAGTGTTCCTTTTTATATCCATATAAGTCAAAAGATTCACAATTTGAGCAGCGAGATGCAAGATAGAGCGGCAATGTTCTGTCGAATGTTGGAGAAGGCATTTCATTCGTCGGCGCAGAGGGCAAATAAACACCGCCTACGGTTTCCACCCCTCACATCCGTCGATCTTCCTGACATTTGGATTCCACGCCACGACACATCCATCGCCAAAACATGTTCTCCTCATCTCAAGACTAATTGTTAGTGGTCCTTTCCTTTTATCTATTTATTTGCCAGCCAATGGTTAACTGAACTGCATTATGTGTTAACAATTGGTAATGCTGTTCCTTTTTGTTTTTCATGTTTGGCTCACCTCTTAGCATATAATTTCTGTTATTTTTTGTGGTTGACAGTTAGCTATCCTCAGAGAACTTCTGATATGTCTGAATTTACAAGTACATTCTTCTTGATAAGTCGAAACGTTTCATTAATTAAAACTGAGTTGGTGTCAAAAAAAGAATACGTACAAGTTGTGACTTGTTTATATGACTCAATCGGAGTCTCCACTGTGGTCCATCAAGTTTATCGAGCTATCAGTGCAATGCGTCATGCTCCCTTTATACCACCAAAAAAAAAAGGGGGTCGTTGGGTTTCAAGCATAAGGGAAAATAATCCCTGTGGAAATTTTATTCCACATTTGGTTGAACTTTTGATTCAGGTATAAGCAATCCCGGGATTGTTTATAACACAATTGTGGTATTATTTTTTTACCACATTCTATATGGGATAGTAATCCTACTAATCCTGGGATAAAACAACAAAGCAACACATTTGCCCTTTAAAGTCTTTAAGGAAAACCAAGGTTAGAATTGAAAATAAAAGTTTATTCAAGTTTATCTAGTGTAAAACCAAACACATAGTTTATACTATACTCCATATATCTCATTTTTAATCTTATTTTTAATCCAATGAACCAAACATCTACCAATAAAAGTATATCCCCCAAATTATCCGTCATTGTTTATTCCTCGTACTATAATCCTCACATTATAATCGCAGTATAACTTGTTTGCAAACCAAGTAGGGCAGACCAGTGTCCTGCGTTCACGCAGGCTCCAGGAAAGGGCCGCACCCCAAGGGTGTAATGTAGGCAGCCTACCCTGATGCAAACATCAATGGCTGATTCCACGGCTCGAACCCGTGACCTATAGGTCACACGAAGACAATTTTAAGAAAAAAAATCTTCTAATGATTTCTGTATCTTTTTCAGTAATTTGAAACATTTTCCTAATTCTTTCATTCACATACAATGAAAAGAGATGACATTTTCAGACTGCCTTTCTTCTCTATAATCTCCACTTAACATGGTAGCTTCCTCCACTACGTCTTCTGTAACCTCCACGATCTGTCAGAAAACAAGAGTGCACGGAATCACAGTAGTGAAGCCATCATGCAATGAAGCAAGGCGATAACTCTTTTGTAATGTGAAACCATCATGTAGTGCAACAGTTGTGTATCCTGCACTGCGGACTAAGCGAAAAAGAAGCTACTTCTTTTCAAGCCTTTATGCTTAAAATTTGTTTCCCCACCTCTCTCCTATATCCTCCTGGACCCATACTGATAGCTCCATGTGATAATGTTTTATTGTAATTGATGGATTTGCAAGTACATAAAAATGGCTTAACCCGTGCATAAGTGCTTCCGGCTAGTGCTGAGGATTTACTAGTTCATAAAACAACTACAACTATGTCGCGATCGCAAAAAAGATGGGGATTTTATTAGTACAATTTTTACTATTCTAATGTCAAATGTAACATGTATTTTCTTTCCTGAAAATAATGGTTGATGGAAAATGGGTTATTAACTGTGCGAGAATCAGGTTGGGGATATTGGGATTAACCTGGAAGGTAAAAATATCATTGTTTTGATAGTCTTTAAGTAATTTGGTGTACCTGGTCAGGAACATCAAGATTTCTATGATCCTACAAGTGAAATTAAAAGATCTTTTTCCTTTCACTTGCATTTTTGGTGTAACAATAGATATCATATTGCATAGATAAAACAACACCAACAACAATTACGCACCAATCCCCAGCAAGTTGTAATTGTTGATGATTCAGGATGAGTCATATGCATAACTTGTATATCTGTTAGACGCCAAGTTTTTGTCACTAGTGAAATTATTGACTAAAACATGGTTATGTTTTCATTAGTGAGATCTAAGTGTAATGAGGTTCTTTCTCCACGGGGGATCTGATGCCTTTGCAATGTGAGTGCAAAAAGCTGTTCTTTTTATGTATATAGAGTTTCACTAATGACACACTACGATGGTGTAAAAAATGCATATAATGTGATGGTATGGAGTATTTTCACCCCTCTAACAAATCTGTCTAACTTTATTATTATTATTTTTTTATTTTATCAGATCTGTCTAACTATCCGTTCAAACAGGAATATTCTCTTTACAACAAAAATACAGATGAAACACAAGAGATATTTCTATGCTCTCTACATCCTACCCTAAAAAAAAGGGCAGCCCGGTGCACTAAGCTCCCGCTATGCGCGGGGTCCGGGAAAGGGCCGGACCACAAGGGTCTATTGTACGCGGCCTTACCCTGCATTTCTGCATACTACAAAATATTCTTCTCTTTCCAAACTGACCAAAAAATACAAAGAGGTACCGCCTCCCAAAGGGCTTACCTTTTCTTATAATTTTCTGTATCTTCCAGCTTGCAACTTTTTTCCGTTACTGTTCTTGGAAGCACCAGTACTCACCTGATATAGAACAATGAGAACATTTGTTCCTAGAGTTGGATGACCATCTCGCAATGCAACTTTGAATAATCGGCATCCTCTCCTCCCTCTTTGCACATATAAGATCAACTCCTTAAAATGTCATTCTTGGGTATCACATTGAAGGATGCTCATGAAGTAAGAAATGCATCTTCCTTTGGCACCTGAGTATGCTACATCCCCTTCTGCACCTCTCCCTTGTCCCATGTGTCTGGTAACAGGTAAAGCCCGAAGGCTGTTTCAGTCCCTTTCGGCGGAGGTGCCAACTATCTCTCTTTTCTACTAACACTTCCTTGTCCCATGTGGTAGGATTTTATCCCAAATACCCTGATGCTCGGGCAGCTCTACACCATCTCTCTTTTCCACCTCCCCATCCCCTGTTGTCTAACTGTGCAATTTTATGCAAAATCTCCCAAAATTCCTCCCACTTATAATATTGAATGACCCTTCTAAAACTTATATCCCATAATATCCCCGGACTACGCCTTCTCATAACTTTAACTACCATTCTCTCCTTATCATTTCCAATGGCGTATACTTGCGGGTATAAATCACTCAAGGATGTCTCCCCAACTAATAGGTGTTACCTTGGAGACTAAAGCAATATGTGGTTCAGATCTTGTAGTTCGGCCACCTTTGTGTCACACAACATTGAAGTGTCATTAGCAATATGTGCATCGTCTTGTTGATAATGGGATATTGAAGTAAAATGGCTTTGGATGGAGTTAAAAAATCTACTATGGTAAAATTAGGAACTCATTAATATTTTGTATGTTTTCATTGTTAAGTGAATATAGTCTAGGTGATTGTGTTTTTTGTAGGATTTTTTATTAAGCTTATTAGATGTGTAGCTTCACTTTTTTGTGGCATTGGCTTGGTGCTTTGATGGAATTATCAAATTTATCGAAAAAGAAACATATGTTTTTTTACTGCGGTGCCTTCAATATATGAATATCCTATTAGAAGAGTTTAACTTATTCACAAATCTTTTACTCAAGGAGAAAAAAAAGTATCAATAAAAGTACAACAAATTATGTGATATCTTCTTATTAAGAAATGAAAGGTATTAAGCAAACAAACTTCAAACAAAGAGGGCTCAAGGGTTCCTGTAAGTTAAGTCAATTTTTAAAATAGTCACATTAACTTACTCCACACTGAAGTCAATGATATTACTATAACCTATGGGCATATTTCTGTGCACGATTACTATAGCTTTGCTTGACTTCATGCATTGGATGATAGCATAATTGGGATGGAAAGAGCATGACTACTTTCATCAGTTTTGCCTGTAATTTTTACTTACTTTAATTTGCGCAAAATATGTAGAATAATCTTACCCGAAGACCATAATCTTACTCCCAAAGGACTATATCTTGAATGCAGGTAATCCAATTTCATTACATCTACTTATTAAAATTTTATTTACCGAGTTATTCCCTGTTCTAAAACTAATGTGTTAGACTATATTACAAATCATAATTTGGAAAATGAAATAAATGGATGAAATCAAATCATTTGAAAAAAGTACTTATTACCTACTTTTGGAAAGGGAAATGTTTCAGAAACAAAACAGATATATGCAATATGTATATATATATATNGAGTTTCTCTAGATGATACAAGAATTAGGTTGTGTTTGTCACCACTAAAAGAAAGTAAATGCATTGTTCCTAATAAGACATTCATCTTGTTTCCAATGTTTGATGGAGTGAGAAACATGCATGCACTTCTTAGATGAAAATATTAAGAATAGAAAAGATTCTTAATGACTGCAGCTCTTTTATTCGGTTAACTCTATTCTATTGTAAAATGCAAACAAATAACAACTTCAGTTTTTAAAATATCCGAAGAGAATGAAGTTATTCCTTAGCGAACTCACTCCATAGACTCCTGATATGTTTCCAGTTCCATTGTCATTCAATACATGGCATCATGTAAAAATATTATCAATTACATAATAAAGTATTAATTCATCAATCTCTCCCTGATAATTTGTGCATTGCACATTTACAAACTAGTATCGTATACAGAGTGTATCTATCACCTAAGGAAAAACTATAGAATGCTGTCACCCTAGGCTCAAGAACTATCTATCGTACCCTAAAGTTGTTTCAGAACTTTTACTTATAACAAAGAATTTCCTGAACTGTCAATGGCGTGGATAATAAATCAAATAACGTGAATTAGTCTCCTCTGTGGCCAACTTTCTCATGTTGCAAAGTAACTATCTTGCTATCAGTAATGCTGAGAGAATGTAAATATGAGAATGCACTTTTAGTTATTTGATAATAGCTATGATGTTTTCTACTGCTGTTGTATTAGTTTATTGAGCAATTTTTATTTGTGAGTTGTTTCCTTATGCACATTATTTTTGGTTTAAAAGCATAATTAACTATTTTACTGCTGTGTAAATAAAGCAGCTATTGGTCAGATTGCTAGAGTGCTTGAAGGAAAGCCAATTGCAAACAATATAAACTCTTGGATAGCAGCTGAAATATCTGAATTGAAGAATACGATCGGAAAGACTCCAGGTTTAGGTGTTATCCTTGTGGGTGGAAGGAGGGATTCTCAATCTTTTGTCCATATTAAGATGAAAGCTTGCATGAAAGTTGGAATAGCACCATTCACGGTGGAACTTCCTGAGGATTGCACTGAAGCTGAATTACTTGATGCAGTTTCAAGTTTTAATGAGAATCCATTAATACATGGTGTAGTTGTGCAGCTTCCTCTACCAAAAGTAATTTACCCATCCCCAGTTCTCAGTTGAATTTGTTCTTCATTTTCTTCACCTTTTTTTGTCCGTATTAACTTCAAATTATTGTTTCTTGTTTATAATAGCACACCTCCTTTTTGATTTAGCTGTTTCCAGATTTTTGGGGTACTCCAGATGACACAATGTGGTCATGCTGCTTTCGTTGTGCAACATGTGATCATATGTCCAGATCTCTAAAGCACATAACTTCTCATATTGCACTTTTCCCTTAAATAGTAATGTAAAGCCTTGTAGTCACATTTAGTTAGTATTCTACCCACTAATTTTCCTAATCAAATTCTTCATAGAGCTCTATTCCATTCTATTTAAATGAAATTAATCAAGAGATGATTGTGTTGAGCTCGATGAATCTAGATTTGCTACTTTTAAGGAGCAATATCTTTCAAGGGGAGGGAAATTGACCCTTGTGAAAACTTCTTTGTCAAATTTCATTCTATGTCACTTTTGGTCATGCCCATGTCCATTTCAGATGGAATTTATTACCTTTATTGGGAGGGAAAAAGAAAATTTAGTAAAGGTGTCTTATCAGATTGGACATCCACCATTTCTTGTGCAGGGTTGCGAGTTAGGAATCATTACCACCTTTAAACCAAGCCCTTCTAGGAAAATGGTTACTAAAATTTAACATTGATGAGAATAAACTGCCTGATAAAGTCAAATATTTTTATTATAATAATGAGAGAGGAAGATAGATCAGTAAAGAAGATAGGAGACATTCTTTATCTTGTGGAAGGGGATTAGGAAAGGTTAGATCAGGTCCATTCACATTTCTTTCAAGGTGGGGTTTTTTCTTTTTATTGGGAGGACACTCTGACTCTGTGCAAAGAAGGGACTTTGAAGAATATATTACTGTGAGAAGGCACGGGAGAAAATATGTTATTGATATTAGATGAACAATACAATACAAGAGGTCCTTATTTATAGCTATACTATACAAGGACATACTACTCCTCTGCCAATGTGGGACAATACTACACTATATACATGCTGTAAACTAACACTCCCCCTCAAGCCGGTGCATACAAATCATATGTACCGAGCTTGTTACATATATAACCAATACGAGGACCAGTGAGAGACTTGGTGGAAATATCTGCAAGTTGATCATTCGACCTCACAAACTTTGTAGCAATCTCTCCTGAAAGTATCTTTTCTCTGACGAAGTAACAATCAATCTCAATGTGTTTAGTTCTCTCATGGAACACCGGATTTGATGCAATATGAAGGGCAGGCAGCTTGATTATCGCACATAAATTCCATCCGACTGACTTCACCAAATTTCAACTCCTTGAGCAATTGTTTGGTCCAGACTAGCTCACATGTTGCCATAGC